TTTATTACAGCTGAATCATAAAGGATATAAATGATTACATTATACAAGATTTGGCTTTTTATAATTCGTGATAGTAATAATTAATTAGCAGTACTAGTAATTTAGATATTCGCCATGGCGATGTGTATCATATAGTTTTAATTCTGAATCGACGACACAGAGACTATTGTTGAAAGCAACATGTTGGTCCTGAAATTTTCAAGCAAGTATATGAGATCGCTTCACTAAAGAAGGCGTTCTATCAGAAAGTACAGTATTTCAGTATTTTACTATGTGTGATTTATCAACCAATAACGTTGCACCATTCTATAATTTACAGACGAAAATTTGGTTCAATTCCAATACGACAATGGCAGAACCAACAACAGCCGGAGGCTCCGCTTCAGATCCCAATGCTACAAGGACAGTTCACGCCTATATTTCTGATCTCCAGGACTTGATCAAAACGGCCCAGGAGGATTGGGGCTTGACGGCCGAAACGCAGTTTTCTTCAGACCAAGCCCTCGCAAAATCGACCAAAGTCACGGATTCTGCAAACGGTATAGAAAGTGAAACTTTGCCATTGCCTAAATATTTCGGCCCATGAGACTTTATAACACCAACACGAAATATTCTTCGAACTTTTCTTAAGCAATTCACCCGCTAGGTCCCGTAAATGTTGGTCGATTAGCAAGTGAATTTAAACAAAAGATTGACGCCGTTCGAAACATATTGAAGACTTTCCAGGAAACTACGCTCAATCAAGCGAGTCTCGAGTCTAATTTAGACAGTTCATTGAGGAAATTATTGCAGGTATCATAATTGTTAATTATTTAGTGATGGTATGTGGACGATAGATCAAGAATGGGAGGAACTGACCCGTGTTTCTTATTCTATTCACAAGAATGAATCAAAGAATTTGCGCGCAGTTTCCGAAGTGCAAGAAAGTATTAAAGCTTGCAAAGCTCTCGCATTGAACGCAACCCAGTACGGCGTGGCCTGCCCTGACATGATTTTAAAACAAATCGAGAGAGTGGCAGATGATCTGGGGTTAATAGTCAATTGGTTTCCCTTTACTGTTAATTTATCTGTAAGCGATGGAACCTTGTTAATCACGGATACTGTAGATTGAAATACACGTCCGACGAAGAAACGCCGTCAACTTCTACGCTTGCAGGACATCTTATCGTTATAGACGTAAGTTGCATGATGCTTAACTTTAGGCTGTTGACGCTATATATGTGTGGTTAATTATGAATTCACATTTTATGACTTTCCTCTTGTTATTCTAGATAGACTTTGACCCAAAGACGTACGCTATTACTCACGTGAGGTTTACTCGTGCGTCTGATAAAGGAGAAGAGAACCAAGTAATGAAGACATTATTATCTTTTTTTTTTTCAAAACGATCCGTTTGCTATAACCTTATTACTAGCAATCTTTTTCAACATAGGTCAATAGTCTATTGACGAGCCAGTTGAGGTCAGAAGAATAAGAATGGATCTGCTTGTAAGGGATATTTGTCACTTCAACCCCTTTTAACAAATCTTACAGGTCAAAGGATTTAAAATCGTTCAAGACCAATTTGTCTGCGCTGGCAAAAATGGATGCTTTATACAAAATACATTCTGTTGACTTTTATTCGGCTGTGAAATGCATTGCCAACGATATCCGTTCGATCTATGAAAAAGAACAGTAAGTGTATGACAGTATGATATAGACACTATTTAATTTCTGTATATTATTCAGCAATTTCATTGATCACGTCATTATCAGTGCAGCTTGTATGGGAAACACTCCAAGAATATTGTTGGATGGTCATGGCATTGCACTTAGCAATGTAGATCGGGTTGGACCATCCATTGCGTACTGGACAACAAAATACAATATATTAGACATAGACTGGGCACCATTTGCAGAGGCTAATTTAAAAGGTTAAATACAAGAACACTTTACGAGCCTTTGCTGTAACGCCACATTTTTTGACTAATTGGCACGACGGTTTGATATGTAACTAGGCGTTGATCATGATATATTGCGGTCATTTCATCGTTTGTGGGTTAATATAGAAGAATCTCAAAGCGTGAATAAGTTTCTACCTTCTGACAGCAGTCATTATTTGTTGGAAGATGATGCAAATGAGGATGCCTTGAAAGAGCAGTAAGTATTGCAATGTTTTCGCAATCAACTCGTACACAAATTCCATTCTATCATTTAGATTATTGAGGTGCTCACCTTATCCATTTCCGCAGATACGATATTACGACGTCTGATATTACGTTTTCAATATTGCCGACGCCATTGAAATTTATACATCCAAAGGCCAGTTCATTGCCATCGGCTCGCGTGCATTTCGTCGCAGTACTGGAGCCACCAGTGTATGTGTCTGATAGTGTCGCTCGAGCTTTGGGCAATCTGGCAGCGATTACTAGCCGAGGTGAATATAAGGCCTATTTTAATCATGTAGATTAGTGATAATAATGAAAACAATAGCATACGATACTGACTGCATGTCTATGCGAATAGGGTTTATAGTGACTAGTGCTTACGAAAAAAGAGATAATAGAGGTTTAGCGCTCGAACATCTGCTGGTAAGTTTAAAATAGTTTTTGAATATAATTTGTCGGTGGACGAAATACTCATCGATCGTTTGCAGATACAAGATGCCGTTCCAGAACCAACATTAACTGCTTTAAATAAGGCACTTAGTCCAGAAACTCGTTGGGAAATGGTTAGTCACCGATTATATGATGATTTTTGTACGTTAAGAGGGATATTATTCTTCGCCAAATTTAACAAACGCGTTCTTATAAATAAAACAGCTACTCGAAGATTCAACGTATGTGCAAGTATATTCATTCGAGAATCTATTTTTGACTAGTGCAAAGAAAATTCAGCGAATTCCATTCACTCACCCTGATCAATTATATGGGTTTACAAAGGTAATAATAGAAAGGGCGTACAATTGTGTTTTGCAGTATAACTTCGTGGAGATTTTAACGTATCCTGCGCTATATCAATAGCTCTTGAGGCAGCAACTTGTGTTTAACACACTCTTCCAAAGCTGTTTCAACGCAAATAGTTATAGAAGCACACTTTCTACGATGCATTCATGTTTTGAAGCATCTCTTGCAGGTTAGTGAATATGTTTATATGTCGTAATTCAATATTATCATGTCTAATAAACTCTACCGTTTTAACCTCAAAATGTTTACGAAATCCTGGCTTGACGATATACATATGCAATAGAAGCCCTTTATTCAGTCCCAGCAAGAGTGCACGTTAAAGTAGAAACTCAAGAACCGCCCAACCGCATATTTGTTACTCTTCCAAATATAAGCAATGGATCATTTATTACTTTACAGATTCAAATCGCACCGGAAGATGCTCAACCGTACGTAATGTGTCATGCAGATGACGTTCAACTGGATCATGCAAGATTGACACGCATATTACAAGCATGTCAGAATATACCGATGCTTGTTCGTTGCATATTAAATGCACTCACTGGAACTATTCCTATGGTCACTGAAAGTGAAGCACCGATCGATGTCATAATGGCCGATCCTGTTGAATTAAATTTCGTATTGTAAATTATAATATGGCGGGAACAAGATATTAAACTTCTCATCGTGGTTTCAGCAAACAAGTACCAATAATTCATGTTACACTTCACTGCCAATCCCTAACGACCTCGACTCACACTCTTCAATAACTTGCCACGCAGTCATCCTCAATCCGGCAAGTTTCCTTTAACAATTCTTTGGAAACAGATTTATGAGCAAGAGCATCTTTTTTAGAGCATGCAAAAATTCCTTCATTTGTTCGTTGGTCAGGAGAAAATGGGGCCCAGCCGCCAGAAAAGTTACTTGAATTTGCCGAGAACGCGTTACCATAATTGGTGTTTATTGATGTCCCAGTATAGCCGCTCTCGGCCTGTTCTCCTATTCGCCGATATTCTGTAAACTGACTAATGCCAGGACAGGCATTGGTTGTCTGTTTCAGTTTTCAAATAAATTTTAACGGAAAACGGAGTCTGCCTTTCAAGAGACTTTATTATTATACAACATCAATTGAACAATGTACAGTGAACTCCCTCTAGATGCAACCTCTCTAAATGCAACTTTTCTCTAAGTGCACAGGAAGTGTTCAGCCCCATAATGGGACTTAAGCACATTCTATATCCTCCATATTAATATGAGTGTTTCTCTAAATGCAATATCATGTGATCATTAATCTACAAAAAGTTACGTTTCTGTGGTAAATTCCATACGAGTACGTAATGCATCAAATTCTTCAATTCGATTCTCACATAGTAGTAACCTGTATCATGCCTATTACGAAGAGATTTTAAGAATGTGCGTTAAATAAAAAAAAACGAGTTAAATAGGATTAAGAATGAGAAATCGCTTACTTTAAGCCGTATAATGCCTTGATCGAGTGGTTGTAAAGCTGAGGTTGTATTTGGAGGTAAGAAGTGAAGTTTAATATTAGTTAGATTATTAATTACTTCTTCAGGTTTATGCAATGTTGCGTTGTCAGCAAGCAGCAAAATGTGGCGATTAGCACGTCTCATTATCGAATCTAAATGGTGGAGGTAATGTCCAAAAATCGATTGCACCATCCAAGCCTTGGCATTCCAATAATACCAAACTGGAAGGCTTGACTTTAGAATTCCTTTTAGACATCGAGGCGTCTGACTTCGGTGAATAAAATAACGGTAGCTTGTGGTCTCCGGTTGCATTACATGTAACCATAATCGAAACACGATCTTTAAGTCGTTTCGTTCCAGAGATCGGTGCATGAGCTAGAGTATGATTTGGTTCAGCTTTCCAAAAAAGAGCTGTTTCGTCACAGTTGTAT